GGTGACAAAAGGGTGGATTACTAGCAAGAATAACTTACTGGAACTGCCAAGATGATTTCAGAAAAAGAACATCTGACTGAAATGTGTAAGCTTAAGATCCTATAAGGTGGCAGGGCATTTTCTAATTATGGTATTTGCAAGAACAACAATGTCAAGGTTTGTTGAATTAGTTATGTGAAAAGAAAGTAATGATTATGAGTAATCCACATGGAATACAATGATGAGAAATAAGAGAAACTTGTAATGATTAAGTATCTTACTTCTTTGCTCTTTGCAACTTCTGCAATAGCAGCAGTCCTTTGCTTTTCAAATTCATCATTATCATTTGAAGGTTTGACAGGCATTGTAACTTGCAACGTCTTTCTTCGATCAAGTTCTCTGCTATCCACTTGGACATGAGATACACACTTCTGGTAACAGTAAATAAAAATAAATCAATTCAGTAGTTCTAAAAAGATCCATGTTTTTCATTAGAAAGTAATACTTTTTCAGAAGAAATATTTATACTTCTCACAACAGGTAAGAGCCCACCAAAAATACAAATCTATCCCACAGATTTAAAAATAAAAGGAAAAAAACTGATTAATGTAACTTAAATAAATATAACTGGCAAATACAATTAAAGCTATACAAAAATGTGGCCATCTAACATTTGACATACATTTAAAATACATATCTAGCCAAGTGCTCTAAGTTACATTTTAGGATACAATGACTTGAAATAATTTTAGATTTTAAGCAGTCTAGATTAGCACACAAGAGGTAAATTCCATTTTTTAATTAAGAGTCTAATTTCCACACTATATGAGGACTGGGTATATCATTACTTTAACATATAATAGAATCTCTCTGAACTTATAAGTCAAAAGGTTAAAAACATGCCCTCTCCCTCATCAAGCTGCAGGGATTTTTATTTTCAGTTCCATAAGATAAATTAAGAAAGGCAGTTACTGCCGAAAACTAAGGTCTTCATTCTAATCCTAATAGTAAAAAATCAAATAACATAAGCCTCTTCTCAACTCATTAACTTAAAAAAAAAAAAGGAAAACATCTCCTCAAATTAATATACTATCCAAATATACAGTAACACCTGTTAGAGCCGGAACTCAATGAGACTGCCTTATTTTTCTGGGTCTCGAAAGTTTCCGCCTTTGACAGGGTGCAGTCTTACCACTTTTCTATTGCTCTATTTAGTGGAAAATACTTGACTTTTCCTTTTCTGACAGGTTTCCACCTTACACAGGTTCCAGCTTTTGCAGGTTTTACTGCAGAGATTTTCAACAAATATAAATATATCCTATTGATACAACTACCATTATCTATCAGTAACCCATGTACAGGGCTAAGATAGGCTGAATAGGAATTTTTCAGAATGGACTTTATAAACAAATAACACTATTGAACTACACGTTTATTACATGTCCTAACCCCTAAAAAAGCCACAAAATGCATTTCAAATTCTTGAAAATAATTAGACCATGATACTTTTGTGGGGTGAAAAAAAAGCTGATTAAATATCTTAAGCCATTTATGAAAGAGAAATATCATCAGAATGTTTAAGGAGAAAATAATTTCCTAAAAATTTATCATCTATTATTTCTCCAATATATATTAATAGAATTTTTGCGCTGTGTTCATTTTGAGGGTTTTTATTACTCTGTGAGAAGTGAGAACATCATCAACTCAGATCATACCATATCTTTTTATCTTGACTACTTCTTGTTTTAAAATCCAGTAAAAATCGGCATATTTTTAAAATACATTCAAAATAGCCATAATGCAAGTATGATCTTAAATTAAATTTGAGTAGGCACTAGCAAAAGTTTTTTCAAGAGAATTTTGGTCAAATGCTCCTATGACTTATCATCTCAATAACTTAGATATCTGATACTCATACCAAAAATAAAAATGCCTGCTGTAGGGATGTGGGCATTTACTTTCTACCTGTCATGTCCCCATCTCATGTTCACTCTGAGCCAGCACTCTCAAAGGAAAACGAACAGCAAACGGAAGACACATTATCAATAACTAAATTTTGGTAGCAAATCAAGAGGCAAAGAGCAAGCAGCTTCAGGGATTATTCTCAGATCTTCAGGGATAAAGCAAGGAGGGGCTGGAGGAAATTGCTGACGATGCAAGTTGATGCAGAGCACAACCAAGGAGACACAAGATATCAGCCAGCTGAGGAGCTACCTCAAGGGAGCACTTTGCAACAAGGGTGGGAGGTTGAAAAATAGGGAATAAATAAGCAGAAAACTTTTAGCTTATGTGGGAAAACAGTCAAGGCTGTTGTGGTTGAATAGAAAATGCCAACTGGAAATAACATTAAGTCCCTGACTGAGATGAGAATTTAAATCCGGAGAGAAGAACAGAATGTTGGAAGGGACAGCTGGGACAGGAGGCCCGCCTAATGTGCCATCCCTCCCTTTATTTAGTCTTTATTTAATTGTGTCTTTATTTTATTGTCACTTTTATTTATGTCTTATCCCACTATACCACTTTTCTTTTCTCTCTCTTTTGTTTTTACCGAAGAAAATGAGAAACTATAGCATATTTTAGTCTTCTTACTTTTGAATTTCTCTCTCAACACCCTCATTGTATCTTAATTGGTTGAAAATTGCTCTTCAGGGGTAGCTCTTAATTGCTTCTATCCTTCAGTCGATAGCTCTTGAGAAGAATATACACCAACAATTAATTACAGTAAAATTATTATATTCCTTGTACTTACTATATTTCCATATAACTCCCATGACTCCTGAATGAACAATTTGGCACAAAACTAAACACAACTTGAATACAAATGAAAAACATTTTTTCTGATTAAAATTCATCTCCCAATATTGAAGTGATTACCTGTCCAAAAGGCACAAAAGGAGGTGGTCCACCTTCAGTCCCAATATTGCTTCTATTATGTTTTGATAAGCTCTGTGAGAAAAGTGAGTCATTAAAACAAAGATTATACATAGAAATATATTTACAACATGTACAACATACTCGGGAGCCTGGTTGCACAGTAGTTAAGAGCTCGGCTGCTAACCAAAAGGTCAGCAGTTCTAATTCATCAGCTGCTCCTTAGAAACCCTATGGGGCAGTACTCCTCTGTCCTATAAAGTCACTATGAGTTGGAATCGACTCGATGGCAAATGGGTTTGGTTTTAGTGTGGTATAACATACCAGGAATCTACTTCCTTTAGTAGATTTTTATAAGAAACGGGGAAAAAAGCCTACTACAAATTATTTCAAATTCCGTAAGATATCTGATTCCTAACTTCATTAATTACGTAAAGGTTCCCCCCCATCCTCCCTTACCAAACACACATTTGCATGCAGTTTTCAGAAATATTTATCAAGCTATGTTCCAAAAGAAGCAAACAGAGTTAAAAAACAAACAAAGCCTCCTCAACAAGAAGTCAATTCAAAGATAACAAATTTTAGTAACAAGAATTTCACTTTAAAGCTATTAAAACTATAACCTGACAGACAAATATTATGTGGTTATTAATGTTCAAACCTGGAAATTATCTTTAAAATAAAATGTTTGTATATACAATCTAATAGTAAACACACACTGAAAAAGGAGATTTCTAATTGTTATAGTTTATAATATAAAGATTACTTTCAACTACAATAAAATATCCTTAATAGAGTATTATGTTTTTGTTTAAAACAATAAGATTAAATATTTCATTGTTCATCAATAAAAATACGCTTCCAAAACCCACTAATTTTAGTATTTTCCCCCTAACTCTTAATTTTAGGATTGGAGAGATATTAATGTATTATAAAAATGGGGAAAAAAAATCTTCTTAGCAAATGCAATTTCTGATATAAAGTCCCTCGGAAGGACTACTTTCAGTCACCTATTCCCCTTCTATGTTTTGTTTTTGAGGAGTTAACATATATATCATGTTTTAAGCACTAGTTGTTCAACACAATTTTAATCCTTTGTGCATTTTTAACAATTATCATTACGGAAAATGTTACGTTTAAAATAGGATATAAATTATTAGCTAAAAAATAAAGTTAAAAAAATCACCGTGTGCACTTCCAAGCATATAGCAGAGTTCCTACATTATGGAAAAACTGTTATGTAATTTCTGAACATGATATGAAGAGTAGTACATGACTAAAGACAACAATGGCATTCGGTTTATTAAGCAAAGAACAATTTAAACTACATACGAATACCACATTTCTTTACAATCTGTATATATGATATTAACCTGATTTCTTTTTAAATCAGTATATACATAAAATTACATGGGAGCCCTTTCCTCAATTTTAATTTAGATATAAGAAAAAGATTATTCAACAGCTATAAAATCTAAAAACCACTGCCATCGAGTCTATTCTGACTCATGAAGACCCCATGTTTCAGAGTAGAACTGAGCATATGGTTTTCAAAGGCTGTTACCTTTTGGAAGCAGACTGCAGGCCTTTCTTCCTAGATGCCTCTGGGTGGATTTAAACCACTAGGCTTTCAGTTAATAGTCGAGTGCTTAACCGATTGCACCACTCAGAGACTCCTAACTAGCTACAAACTGTTTTAATTTATATTATAACTTCTTAAAAAGAATCACACAAGTTACCAGTAATACCATTTTTCAACATGTTATACAATTAAAAAGATTCTATAGGACTTCTACTTCATAGCTCCCCTGACGAAGGTATAAGAACCACACTTAACCTGCCTCTATAAACAACTAGACATCTGGACAACATATAAGAAACAGCTGTTTTAAGACATAGGAAAACAGTACAGGACTGTGATTCCTGAGAGAAAGGAAAACACAAAGTGGGCTCTGGCTTTCTGCTTGGAGGCATGATACAGACAGAAAGCACAGATAGCTAAATTGAGGACACAGATAACATAGTGAAGAAGGCTGAGGGAACTGGAAGTGGCGTGGCAGAGTTTCCTAAACAGAAACCTTTACAATAAGGCGCTCCTAAAAGCTGTATGGGAGTTTCCTTGAGAACTAAATTGAGCAAAAAAAACAACATGGAGTTGTAAAGTGAAGGATTCCCATAACACCCACAGTAAAGAGACATTCCAGCTCTGACCACCCAGAGTGAAGAGTTCTTGGTGATCATTCAGAGGACTGAGTCGAGATCCAGGGGGCTAAATGATATTTCGGGTAAAGTCTACTCAAAACACCTCTTCCAAAGCTTGAACACATGCCTTGAAGAGATCAAACTGACCTACCACATACAAGTACCTTATTGCTTACCAAAGCTAAATCCTACATTTGCTGTCAAAAATTGAATTGTGTCCTCCAAAAATGTGTATCAACTTGGCTAGTCCATGATTCCCAGTATCGTGTGATTGTCCACCATTTTGTTACTTGATGTGGTTTTCCTATGTGTTGTAAATCCTATCTCTATGATATCAATGAGGTGAGATTAGCGGCAGTTATGTTAATGAGGAAGGACTCAATCTACAAGATTAGGTTGTGTCTTAAGTCAAACTCTTCTGAGATATAAAAGAGACAATCTAAGAGAGACATGGGGACCTCATACCACCAAGAAAGTAGTTCCAGGAGCAGAGTGTATCCTTTGGACCCGGGTTCCCTGCATACAGAAGCTCCTAAACCAGGGGAAGGTTGATGACAAGGACTTTCCTCCAGAGCTGACAGAGTGAGAAAGCCTTCCCCTGAAGCTGATGGCCTGAATTCAGACTTCTAGCCTCCTAGACTGTGAAAGAATAAATTTCTCTTTGTTAAAGCCATCCATCTGTGGTATTTCTGTTATAGCAGCACTACATGACTAAAATACTTGGTAAAGGAAGATAACAAAATCTAGACACTCAACAATAACCTACATCACAATGTCACAAAAATCTACTAGGCATGCTAAAAAAGACGAAAGTAAAACCTACAAAAGCCAGAACTTGCATAAGGTGGAAATCTGTCATAGGAGGAAAATTCGAATATTTTCCACTAATAGAGGTTGACAGAAAAGTGGTAAGACTACACCCTGTCAAAGGCGGAAAACTCGCGAGATCTGGAAAAACAAGGCAGTCCCATCGAGTTCTGACTCTCAAAGGTTTCACTGTAATATTACTGAAGGTAGATGGTGAAAAGTTAAAAAAGTATATTTTAAACCCTAGATAAACCACCTAAACACAAAACAAAATGAACAAAAAAGACATATAGCTGATAAGCTAATTAAACAGATAATACAGAATCATAAAAAAATGCAATTCATTTACAAAAAGGGAAGAAAAATAGGAAGAAAAAAACAGATGAGACAAAGAAAAGAAACACCAAGATAGTAGATCAGGAATAAGACAAGGATGTCACCTCTCTCCACATTTATTTAACAATATACTGGAGGTTCCAGCCAAGCAATTAGGCAAGAAAAAGAAATACAAGGTATTCAGATTAGAAAAGAAGCAAAACTATCTCTATTTGCAGATGACACGATCTTATATATAGAAAATCCTAGTGATCCACAAAAAAAACCATGTTAATAAATAAGTTAAGCAAAGTTGCAGCATATAGCTCAATTACAAAAATCAACTGTATTTCTATACATTAACAATGAACAATCCAAAAATAAAACTAAGAAAACAATTACAATAGTTATAAATAATCCAAAAACAAAATTTTACAATAGTATCAAAAAGAATAAAATACTTAGGAATGAATTTAACAAAAGAAGTGCAAAACCTACACATTGAAAACTGCACAACTTCACTGAAAGAAATTAAAGAAGATCTAAATAAATGAAAAGACATCTCATGTTCATGGATTGGAAGACTAAAAATTGTTAAAATGGCAGTACCCCCAAAATTCTATGTAATCCCTATAAAAAACGAAGTTCCCTTTTTAGCAGAAAGTGAAAAGCTGATTCTAAAATTCATGTGAAAATACAAGTGACCCAAAATAATCAAAACAATCTTGGAAAAAGAAGAACAAAGTTGGAAGACTTACACTCCTGATTTCAATCAATAATCAAGACAAAATAGCAATGACATAAGGATAGACATACAGATTAATGAAATCGAACTGAGAATTCAGAAAGAAACTTACATGTATGATCAGTTTATTTTCAACAAGGGGGCCAAGACAATTCATGAGAAAATAACAGTCTTATCAACAATTGGTGCAAGGACAACTGGATATCCACATACAAAAAAATTAGGTTGGACCTCTACTTTAGAACATACACAAAAATTAACTCAATATGGATCAAGACCTAAATGTAAGATTAAAATTATAAGATTCTTGGAGAAAACATAGGTGTAAATCTTCATGACCTTGGATTAGGCAATGGTTTCTTAGTATGACACCAAAAACACAAGCAAAAAAAAGAAAAAAACTGATAAACTGGATTTCAGCAAAATTAAAAACTTTGTTGCTTCAAAGGACATCAAGAAAGGGAAAAGACAACCCACAGAATATGGGAAAATATCTGCAAATTTGTATATCTGAAGAGGGGCTTGTATCTAGAATATAAAAGGAACTCCTACAACTCAATAACAAAAAGACAAATAACCCAATTTAAAAAAGAACAAAAAAATATGAATAGACATTACTCCCCAAAAGATATACAAACGGCCAGTAAGCACATAAAAAGATGCTCAACATCATTAGTCATTAAAGAACTACAACTCAAAACATGGTGGGATACCACCTTCACATCCAGCAAGTGAACTATAATCAAAAACACAGACAATACCAAGTGACCAAGTGTTGTCAAGAATGTAGAGAAATTAGAGCCCTCATACCTTGCCAGTGGAAACGTAAAATGATGCAGTTGCTTTGAAAAACTGTTTGGCAGTTCCTTAAAAGGTTAAATACGGAGTAACCAATGTACCACCAATTCCACTCCTAGATGCATACCAAAAAGATGTGAAAATATGTGTACACAAAAACTTCTACACAAATGTTCATATCGCATTATTTATAAGAGCCTGAAAATGG